TACTATTGGGGGTTTTTTTGTTTTTGGGGGGGGGGGGGACAGGAACTTTTAATTAAATGTTAAAATATGAAAATATCAAGAGTTAATGTAAGCTTTAAAATAGATTTTTGGTCCTTTAAAAACAGGCATTAACATTCAGGCAAGAGAGATTTCCTTTCTTTGTTTAGATGTCAAAACAGTATATCCTCCAAAAAACTAAACCCTCCAGGTCCAGTGCATGGATATGTCTGTCTAAGTTCACCAAGAGCACTCTGTGACCCCCAGCAAAGCTATTACCCCTGCACCATTTTGACTGTGGGAAGAAGAGGATCTCAAAGCAGCAGTATGGATACTAGATAAGAGTCTATAATTCTGTGTCCCTGTATCTTGATGGCTGTCCATAATACCCACGCTTGGAGTGGTCTGCTAGCTGCCGACGGTATTCTTCCTCCTCTGCATCACTGCCATAACTTCCTCGATTATCTAGGTAAGATCGGGAAGGGGGTTTCTGAGGCTCTGGAGGTCTGGAACTAGCATAGGAAAAACCGAGACAGAACAAAGATATAAATCATTTTCGTTCCTAAAACCACGAGGAAAAAGATAAAGTAAATCTATGATCAACTACCAACTGGTAACTAGAATTTGAGCTTCACGCACACAGAGTGGCAGCTGCTTAGGGGTATCCTGTGCCCTTCCAGAACATCAAGTTCAATACAACTCAAACTTGAAAAGCTAGGTTCACGCCTGCATGCCCCCACCATAACTTGACCTCCTTGGAACTAGCAAAGTCCCACAAACACTCCAGCTACATTCTCTGCATTAAGTGCAGCCGTACCAAACAGGTTGTGACATGAGACTGGGAGAGGTATGCCACTACCTGGCAGGTTGATTTCTTATTTTTTGATCACAGGGAAAATAGCAGAATGTGAACCTGAGCAATCTGGTATGCCTCACACTTGAGAGCTTCATTCTGTAGGCAAAGTCAATAGTGGGGCACCGGGGTCTTCCTGCCATAAGGGCTAAAAGTAGTTAGATGGGAGAGGAGTGTGGTTCTTGCATTTAAGGGAGGGCAAGTGAAAGTCCAGCAACTAAGTGAAACAAAAATTCTTAAGTCATTAGACCAAGGGTCTAGCACAGGCTGTGAGCCAGTGCCCACTGTACGCCACAAGTATTTCCCCCAAGAGCAGCCAGCTGCCTGCGCTTACCCTCACTGCTGATCCCCATCCCTTCTGCAGCAAGGGTAAGTGCAGATGGGACAGAAACAGGTTCCTCAGTGGAGGGGAGTGCTATGCAGGGACACTTGCTATGCAGGGCTGTGTGTCTTCAATCCTCTGTGCCAGATTGGACTTTGAGTTGAATCCACCCCAGGGATCCTATTTTTTTTCCTCTTCAGTCCCTCATGGATGTTATACAACTCACACATTCCTAAAGATTTGCAGTAATCACATCAACAAGGAAATACTGCAAGGACTGTTTGTGTTTTCCATTTTGACTACACTTTAATACACCAAAAGGCAAACTGTTTGGGGAGAAAAACCGTCTACTTACTAACAGTTTCCCCAGCCACCCCTAGAAATTGCAAGTGTAAGAGTGAAAAGAATTAGAAGCTTTCCAAAATCAGAGTCAAAATGAACTCTGCAGTTTGTATGAAGGAATAAGTATGTGTAAGGCAACAGACTGAACAGCAGGGGCCTGATCCAAAGGCCACTTGATTCCATGGAAGCACTGCCTTAGACTTCAGTGATTGGGTTCAAAGAGGCCAGGTTGCATTCCCACTCCGTGAAGTGTTAGACAGTCTCTTATCCTCAGTCTCCACACCAGAATAATGACTCTTTAAAAACACTTTTTACATCTACACATACTAAATTATGTGTAGTTACTATAATTAATTAATTACTATCATTCTTAGTTAGGATGAACAATAATCTAATCTTTAGGCACATAAAGGATAACACTAAAGGGCTGAAAGGAGAAACAGCTCGCACGTGGCTAATTTTGAGACAAAATCATCTAGCATTATGAGTCTCTCAGTAACTATATCTATCTATATAAAAATCTCTCTGGGCAACTTCAGCACTGCAATATTGTGGACTACTTTAAGAGAAATATAAAGGGAAGTCAGATTTTTCAGAATAGATTATTGTAAAAGCAAGTCAAACTTTAAGCCCACTAGCTTTGACACAGCATTTATTACAGTAATCTTCTCTGAAGCACTAAAACAAGACAGCATTAGAGTTTGAGAAGATTATTTGTATGAGTAATGGTTGTAAGATCAGGTCCCTCTTACAGGTGAACTAAACAAACCAGAAGAGCAGCTTTAACTGGATCCATCTTACCTCATGGGCTGGGTCCAGTTCGGGTCTGACTTCTGTGTTTTGATTGGGACAGCATAAATATCTGGGTGTTTCTGGGCTATTTCCAGCTTTAAAGGAATTAGAAGAAAATGAGATGCTTTTCAAGAGTCTGCACAACAAGCCACTTTAAACTAAACCAGTGTCGCTCAGTGTTTTTTTGAAGTACAATTTATTAGTTACACAATGAGATGGTCCTTTGTTAACATAGCTTCTCATTGCAGGAAACCATTCTAGCTAAGTAGCTAACCCATTCTATACCCAAATCCACACATGCACACCGGTATATCGTGTGCA